TTAGCTATTGCTCATACGATGATTGCATGAAATGTCTGGGGAAAAAAGGAAGACAAGAGATATCAAACACCCCTCGAGAGAAGATATAGGATTATTAAAAGGACGTCTAGAGAAGTGAAGGAAAATCGCGCAAAAGATGAAATCAAATAGGAGAAACCTGAAATGACGAAGTGCAGAGATGTCCTCTAGTCTCTTGTGGTATGACGGTCACCCGGTACCCCAGCGCTGCTGATGGATAATGGTCTGGTGAGCGGCGGGAAAAGGCAAGTGGTTTCTCCTCAGCGCCGAGAGTCGGTCTATTTAACAGTGGTATGTTTACCAGGGCCATACTTGGCCACGGACCAAAAGAGAGCGGCTTGGCCGCAGATCGCAGTGGCCGGTGAATTTTTAGAAATTTGGAAAATGGACCAAAACGCATCTGATTCATGGCCAAGTTGTGCCGCGTAGATCCTGATAGGGGATAATTGTCACCAGGGGACGGATCGTGGAGGCTATCGATGGAACATTCGGGGAAGAGCGGCAACCTGGCGCGGGAGACGACAGCCAGTGTCTCTCCTGGGGAGATAAGAGCGCTCTAGAATAAGGAAATACGGACTAAGGGCGGCGGTGCCTGGGTCATGCAAGATGCAACGTCTTGCGAAACGTCCTCGCTGACGAGTACAAGAGTTGGGCCTTCCAGTCAATCTCGGCCATTTGGTTGTGGAATGTCTTACAGATAGAACTCTTGTCGGTAACATCGCCGGTGATTCTGGGACGCACATCCGCTCGGCCGTTGCCGCATGTTGGTCCTCCCTCTTGTGGACCTTGAAGAATTTGAAACGATGAGAGAAGCTGGAGGCTTGGAGGCCCCAGGAACCGCACAGCCGTGTCCGTTGTTGGACAAGATGAACCACTAGTTCGGGCTTGGAGCTGTCATCTATCATTGCTGCAGAGAAAATCTGCGACACGCGTTCCGACAACGCCGAGATGGTGGCTGTTGGCAGGCTGATCTCTCGAACTAGAAGCATTGAAGCTGAAAGGTGGAGTTGATAGCCACTGGCAAAGTTCTACTTTGGGAAAAGTACGAATTAGGTGTACCGTTGCTTGAGTACCTTGACTCAATTGATTGCATTCCCAATGCCAACTCAAAAATAGTCACTCTCATTAAGTTGATGGAGCATAATGGGAGGCCACGATCGTGATATCTCATGAAGTCGTTGTTTCCCCAGAATGCCAAGACTTCAGTTTAAGGGCGGCGGAGAGGACCATGGGAGGAAGAAGGGACGAAAGCGACACTGCGCGGGGGGCCCCTGGGTACTGGAAACTGGTGCTGGGCAGGTAAACAGGTATCAATGTTAATGTCTAAGGAGGCGACAAGCCAAACCTGCCCAGAGAAATAGAGTGGGATGCCCAGCTGCCCAGCATGGCGAAATGATGGACAAGAATCTTAGTGTCTTAACAGAGTGACTGGGCGGACAGGGCCCGGCGGCGGACAGCGGGACCCTCATTGGATAAAACGTCGTTGAAGTAGGCGTCAGGCCCGCCGTCAGACTCTCGGCGGAGGGGACCGTAATTCGCGGCGGTGTCACCGTTTCCTCGGCGCCAAGCGGAGGAAGCAGGTGGTTGTTGTGTTGTTGTCGACTTCCGCTGGGTGGAGCAGGGCGCGAGCCGGCCACTCTTCGCCGGTCTGACGACCACGGTTGAGCGAGGCCAAGGAAGGATTGTCTTGGTTCATGATTGTCATAGGACCCGCATGTTCTTGGGAGCGCTTGGCTGTCAGGGATTGTTGGCTGACGTTGGGACCACCCGGCGCTCGGCGCTTCTTGGGTGAGGCTCAGCGCTTGTCGCTTGGCGGTTCAAGTCAGGTTACTCTTGCATAAGAACTTCTTGCGTTTTCAATTCGATTTAAAGATGGCATATTGCCATTCATTGGATATGATCAGTAACTTTGATTGATGAGAATTCTTCCAGCCACTTGGAGTGCTGTAGAACTTCAGTCTTTCAAAAAACGGCTTTTGGCTGGATGGCGTGATGGACAAGATTGTGCTGTTTTTGAGACAGTCAGCGACTTCATAGATTGACAGGTAATGGAGATGTCATTATCCGCGGATATTGTTGGTGGGGGCTTGTACACAATAAGGGTTATCCACTTACTATTCCCCTGAAGCCAACGCAAGCTGTTTGATCCCCTCCCTTCTCCTGCTGGTTTGGGTGCTTAATGCCTCGCCTTCTTAAGGGTTTTGAGTCAAATATCAAGTAGGAAGTGCATGTCTTAAGCCTCGTGCTCGGACATGGAGTATTTTTCTATGTCCCTAAAAGAAATTACTTCAGAATCGCACGCTATGGATACGCGTCCATGATACAATACTGCTAGTGACGATCAACATCCGTGCCTCGACAGGTTTTGAAATGACAAATGGAACATAAAAATCCGGCGCCTGCACACCGAGTTTATTCACGCTGTGTAAACCGACATATCTGCCGAACGAAGCTTTAGCCAGATCATTCAAAGTATGTTCGGCGATGTTGGAAGACCATAAATAGGACTGGTAATGTGATATACTCGCCCACGACACGTGAAAGGCCAGGCTTTACGAGTTGAAGATGTTGTAGCACGACGTACAGTCGAATAAGACTGTGCTGAGCTCTTCTTAGCTCCGATTCATAATATGTACTAGGTAAGAAGACGAAGTAATGGCATGGTGTTTTGGGTGTCAAGGTGGCAGGCATAGAGGAAGGAAGGAACATCAGCGGGCCGATTAACCCAGGGGCTTGTGACTAAGAAGGTTGCAAAAACAATAGAGGGCAAGTCACATTATTAAGTTATCGGAAGACATTGTTCCGTATGGGCAGCCACCCGATTGTGCCTCAGTATCTTTGCGCTTCGCTGATTGGTTGGGCGTTTGTTTCCCCTTTCTGTCCATCCCTTTCAACATCGCTTTAATCTATTTCTTCGCTGATTGTTAAGCAGCATCTACACAGATTGTGAACTGAAAAATTGCCTCATGATCTTGATGTGAGTCTACAATGTAAAGTCGCCGCGTGACTCAACGGTCCATACATATAGCTCTCATGGTATCACAATCGTGCTTCCACGCAATCTTTCCCACTGACTAATGATGTTGCCAGCTCTGGTCAACAAGATACATCGGGATAGCTCGCGCTCAATGACACCACAAGCCGAGGATGGCGATTTGTATGATCGGTTAAAACCCCCGATCGATTGTTTAACAAGCTTATTGCGCCTCGTTGCCTCGAGAAGGCATGTAAATAGTCCCGTCTCGTACTTGTGCACAAGAATACGACCTAGGGTGCCGATGTTCCGAGAAACCTGCTGATGGCGTTATCATGTGCATAGCCATCTTAGCCGTTGGGCGACAGCTGTAGTCACCAAATGCCAAAACTCAAAGTGATGATTCCCACATGCTGGCAGCTCTCATTTCCTCCACCGTCTAGACTGAAGCTACACGGTGTCTAGTCTGCTTACATGCGTGATCCACATTCAAGTTTGGCTGGGGCTGAAGAACAATGTGAATCCGGGGCGTGATCCACTCATCTCCACGAACTCTAAACATAGCCAGACTTCTGATAGACCCGGCAGAGAGGTTTGGCGGGCCTAGCCGGCTTCTTCTAGATCCATAGGGTTCGGGTTAAACCGAGGTGGATGGAGGTTCTTCATGGGCTGACCAACCACGGCATCCCCTTTTTGACTGACCTCGCAGACAGGTGCTGACCGTTCCGAGGCTACGGATGGACAGGTCTGAGGGATCTGTGCTGATGGCGACTTCGGCCGTCGCTTAATGAGCTGACAAGGGAACCGGCGAGAAAACATGGCTAGAGCAAAGAATAAAGCTTTGACGGGTCGTGGCGTCGGCGCATAGACTTATTTCTTATTCCATTAGCTTGTATGTACTGAGCTCCCAGGTCATGAGTCACGACTGGGCAAATGGGCCTGTAATGAAAGATGAACCTGCTGAACAATACGGAGAGCAGTGAAGATGTGAACGAAGATGTCGATATCATCCGAATAATAGATCGTCCAGAATACAAGGATCGGTTTGAAGTTCTGCATAGCTCAACTTTCCCCTGAGGATCTCATCGGACGATTTTCAGGAACAAGATAATTCGGACGAACACACAGACGCTTGAAAGCCGAGTCTAGACTCTCTGACAACCAACCTTCCCCAGCCTCCACAAAACTGTTCCCCGTAACCTCCACAAACGTTCCCAATTCTGCTGAGGCGTCCTCGTTTCCAACTGCCCGGGTCCAGCTGCGGCTGACTCTGACACGTCTAGGCCCACGTGCCTTTCCATCGCACACCTCTTTATGCGTGCACAGTTGCACCGTTTCCCCGTTTCCCGTTCCTTTGTGGTCCAGAACAAGGGCGGATGGACATGGCACGACCAATCCCAACGACTCGGTTTCCAACAACTAGGGCTCTTTGTTCTCTCCTTTGTGCAGCCCATTGCGCACCACTGGTGCGGCTCGCAGGAGGTTGACAATAGCTGACATCCTATTGGGCGACCGACAATTTAGCATCGAGCCCATCGCGAGTTTCAACGGCGCTAAGTGCAACGGACCGGCTAGACCTTCCCCAAACTACCGTGTCCGTTTCGAATCCCGTTCGACGCTAGAGACATCGGATACCGAATTGTTCTGTGCTGTAGCTCTCTACTGGGGAAGTGTCGTGCTTTGTCAGAACGCCCGCATTACACGAGAGGATAGTCGACTTCTCTGATGCCGTTGAGCTGTGAAGATGGCTCACTGTTCGCGCAAAGTAGGCGTTTGCCACAGCCCAGAGTAAGCTTATGTTCAGGTCTAGATCGAAACGGCAAACTTAGAAACATCCAAACGCTTGGAAAGCTCCGAAATCGAGAATGCCAAGTTTCTATAAAGACAGCCCATTCGCATCTGGGAATCAAACCTCTTGGCATCATCACTCAGACACCATCGCCAAGCATCGCCAAGAACCGCCAACTAACACCAACAGCCAAACACCTAACCCACCAACACCGCCAAAATGCACGCCAGCCTCTACCTCCTCACCAGCTTCTTGGCTTTCACCTCCGCGGCCACTGTTGACCTGGCTCCCCGCAAGGGCGGCTCCGATGACAGCGGCTCCGGCTCCAGTGGCAAGGGCAGCAGCGGCAGCAATACCTGCTCTGTCTGGACCAAGGTCAACAAGGACCTTAACACGCGCTTCATGGCCGGCGACCAGTGCAACGACCTTGCCCGCGCCGCCATTCGTGCCATCTTCCACGACTGCGGCTCTTGGGATACCACACAAGGCTTCAGCGGTGGCTGTGACGGTTCTCTGATTCTTGGCAAGAGCTCATCTGCCGGTGACCCCGATGAGCTCTTCAGAAACGAGAACCGCGGCCTGCAGAACATTGCCAAGGTTCTCCAGGATATGGCCACTCAGTACGGAACATCAGTTGCTGACATGATTGTGTTTGCTGGAAGTAAGCTACCCCATGGTCGACGACTTGAAGAGGCCTGCTGACTCTGATCAACTTAGATACCGCAATCTTCCTGTGCCCCGGCGGTCCCAAGGTCAAGACCTTCGTCGGCCGCAAGGACTCCACTGCCAACGCCAAGCCCGGCGGTCTCCCAGACGTCTTTGCCTCCGCGTCCGACCTCTTTGCTCTCTTCCAGGCCAAGGGCTACAGCGCCGAGGACCTTGCCGCTCTTCTTGGCGCTCACAGCACATCAACTCAGAACTTCGTCGACCCCAGCCAGAAGAACGCATCTCAGGACTCCACTCCCGGCAAGTGGGATGTCAACTACTACGCCGAGACATACAACTACGCCTCTCAGGCCGCCCCCAAGACTGCTCCCCCGGGCGTCTTCGTGTTCCCCTCTGATGAGAAGCTCGCCACGGACACCAAGACCGATGTTGCCGCCAAGTTCCAAGGCTTCATCGGTCAACAGAACAAGTGGGCTAGCAGCTTTTCCGGCGCGTAAGTTATTCATCAAGTCCCGTTTCTACCACATCTGATCTAACACGGATTTAGCATGGAAAAGATGGCTCTTTTCGGAAACGACAAGAGGACCATGACTGACTGCACCGACTCCATTGCGAGGGTGTAGAGCCTCACGGGCTGAGGGATATGACTTTACGATTTCTTTGTTTCAATTCAATGTTCTCTTTAGACTTCTTTATTTCCCAGACTGGCCTTATTCATTAGTGGGAACTGGTCCTTCACATTATGACTCTTATGAACGAATTGTTTATAGATTTACTTCTAATGATACTTCTGATCAATTCAAACGCGACCGAGGTGTGATTTCCCAAAGCGGCTTGGGCCTTGTCTTCATCCCCAAAGATGGTTAAGCGTGGAATTCCGATACCCCCTTTCGCAAGTGCTCAGACACCGGACTGACGCCACGGCTGCGTACCTTACATACAATGACCTAGCCGATTTCTTTCCCAAGTTCGGTTCTACCTTTTGAAATTAAATGCCATGATCTCATGTGCTCATACTCCCCACCCGGCCAGTGTCTCTTGGCCCTGGTCCGTGAACATCAACTTCCCATTCGTATATCCCACGAACCAAATGCCCAGATATCGCCAATGCCACCACCAGAAGTGGTCCTTCGCCCCGAACCATCCAAATACGAGATCCAAATTATAGCATAAATCGTTGCAGGCACCGAGAACCAAGACGCTCATGATCGCAGCGAGATGCACGGCTCTAGCGCCATAGATGCGGTCCACGATGAAGGCGTTGATGAGACCGCCCATGGCCCCTCCCATACCGAGTGGGCAAAAGACGATTGTCCACATGAATCTGGGGAGCATGTCGCGCCAGCCTGAGAAGAAGACGATGCTGACAATGAGCATGGCAACTTCAAAGATGAAAGAGTTGATGTAGAAAAGCAAGAAAGGCCGCAGGTAGATTGCTCTGCGCTTGGAGGCTGCGGGCTTCTCCTCCGCAGAGGTGATGATGGGCTGGAAATTTGGCTCAGACATTTCGTATATCGCTTGGTGGATGAGGTTTCCGTATCACAGGTTCATTGACAATGGTATTGTGGGTTTCCATCGAAGAGGATTTGGTCTACTGCCAACTCATATCACATCAATTGACTACATAACCGTGTGTTTTTTGACCTCGGGTCTGGCGCGATTACTAAACTTGGAGTTTTATACTCGGCTAAGATTACTCCGCTGTTGTCACACAGGCGAGGTTCAGTGATTACCCCGCGACTCGATCACTCATCTGCCGAAACATCAGATGAACCCCAAGAACACGCATCACAAAGACTGAATGGTAAACACAATCGAGTTTAACTACTGTCCCTAAAGGTTCCAGGCATTCACTGGCCATACAGGTCATGAGCTAATATTACAGACAAATCTTTAGAAAACCATGCATAGCCGTCCCTTCAACTGCTTCGACAGATAGTGCTCCGCCATCTCATTCGCCTGCTCGACGCTAAAAGTCTTTTCGATATGCGTCGTGCACTTGTTCTTCGCGTGCAGCTCAATCATCTCCCTGCTGCGCTCGGGTGTGCAAATCAATGCCCCACGAATAGTCTGCTCCTTGAAGTTCAACGCGAATGGGTCGACCTCAAAGGGGCCATCGGCTGGGAGTCCAACATCCACAAGCACGCCTCGCTTTCTCAAGAATTGTTGCGCAAACTTGACTAGTGGTCGAGCTTCCGTGGTGATGACGACGCGGTCAACACCGGGGTTGGTGTCGTAGAATGATGTCTGGAGCTCTTGGATGCAGTTCGACTCTTCCTCCTTGCTGTCGAGGACATATGTGCGGTCGGGCTTCAGGTGCGACGGGACGTCGTTCGCCAAGTCGATACCTTCTTGTCGGTTATCGATCGCGATGACCTTGGCACCCATGGCCTTTGCGTATTGAATGGCCAAATGTCCCAGTCCACCAATACCAATCACTGCCAGCCACTGATCGGGCTTTGGATCCGCTGCCACAAGAGCACCGTAAACAGTGGCACCTGCACAGAACAATGGTGCCGCTTCGGCCCAGGGAATCTCTTCAGGGACCTTGCAGATTACCCTCGCATCCGCCTTCATGTACTGAGCGAAACCGCCATCGACGGTCAGGCCAAGCATGCCTGTCAAGTTGTCGCACAGCTGCTTGCCCTTGTTGCAAGAGTTACATGACCCGCAGCAGCCATACGTGTTGATGGACCCCACGCGGTCGCCAATCTTCCATCCCTTCTTCTCGGCCTCCGGGCTGACCTTCACGATTGTTCCGACAGGCTCGTGGGAACCAATCAGACCAGGTTTAGCACCGGAAGAGGCGTAGACGCCTTCTTGGACTTGGAGGTCGGTGTGGCAGTATCCGGCGGCGGCGACCTTGACGAGGACGTCATTGGGGCCAAGCTCGGTGGGAACATCGACGGACTTGACTTCGTAGCCCTTGTTGAAGTCCTTGATGGATGCAGCGCGCATCTGCTGGGGGATTTGGTCTACCATGGTGATCGACAAATATTGGGTACAATTCGGGATATTAAAACAGGTTGTTTGGTTTATGTGAGAACCTTGAGGCTGTGAACCCTTTAGGCCAGCGAGTTTAAAGCGTTACTTATAAATGCCGACGTGCCGATCAGCTATCGTAGGTGTGCCACTTTTGCTGTATTTCACGGCTACATAACGATGACCTCAATCTTCTAGTTCCAGTTTTCTGAGGACTTTAAACGTCAGAGTCGGTGGTCCATGCGATCAGTAAGTTACGTCAATCCGCCTCAATGGGCCCCGACCGTTAATCGAAATGTCATAAAAGCGGGCCACGCTCACATCTTCTGCCTCTTGGAGTTGATTTCATCTCATGTATTTTCTACTCATTCTGAGCAGTTTCAGAAGGAGCAAGTTGATGTTAAAAAGGCATCAACTTTTGGAATAATCTGTTTTCAATGATTTGCTTTCTTTCCCTCTTCCCTTCTAGTGTCAAACTCAAACATCCATCACCTGGCGTGCCGAAGACTTATTTACTTTGCCTGACAGAACTATGTATCTCTAAGTTCATGAACAGCTTCATCAAAATGTACACATACAATCCAATATCATACAAAAACAAGTCATACTGCAGAAAAGCGTTTGTCAGTGTTCCAGCATCGTGATGAACCGCGAAACGGTGGGTGCGAGGTGTAAACGCGCAGGCACACGCCCCACTCAGTGGAGCTATCCGCGGCCCCACGGTTGCATCATGCACTCGATCGTGATGAGCCTCTTCTGACCTCACTATGAACATGGTCTCCTCAGCATCTGTGAAGAAAGGAAAGCTGCCGTGGTGTTCCCGAAATTCCGACCCCCGAAACGGCTCATTGAGCATCGGAATTTTGCGAATAACGTTTCCGTGATTTGCAACGAATTTGAGACTGGCTCACAATTCCTTTCTTGCATTCCCACCACGGACTCAGTTTCTCTGACAATGCGACTGAAGATAGTGTGAGCCGCTCGCGTACCACTGTCGGACGGGAGTGGTTGATGAAGTTGGCAAGTGTGGAATATCCAGGCACTCCCACGACTGACTCTGGGTTATCGCAGGGCAGAAGATCAAGCTGGCATGTTGCTTCTGCCACGAGGATAGCCTGGTCGTAGATTTTGTTCCGCGAACCAGAAGCGTCCTTTCCCGCGGAGCGGCGGAACGGGGGCTGCATCCGGACCCGGTACTGGTCTCGGCCGGCGACGAGCTTGCGGACCCACTTCACCGTATCCGCGACGGAGCCCAGGACCGAGATGAGCAGGCTTGGTACGTCCGGGAGGTCTACCAAAACCCCAATCTTGATGATTGCATCCATGATTTTCCGAGTTTTGGTGATTGCAACGGCGCAAAATGTGCGCGCTAGATGGCGCGTTCCTGGTGAATAGACTGGCTACTGCGGACAGCGATTAGCTTCTCTTCATTATCAATCAAGTTTCATCTTCGCATACCTCGTTTCTATCATCGGATACTCAGTCGCTCCAGTCGACATCCAATTTTCAACAAATTTCAGGTCAAAAGCCTAATCAAGACCCCATAGAGAGTGCATGGATCATTCGGCCGATGAGACGCCGGCGTTCAAACAGGACAAGGGTTGGTAGCTGGCGAAGATGGCTTCCACCAACATCTTCAACCATCACTATACAGCAGAATTCCAATGATCACAAATGAAAGGGCTACGTCAAGCTTGTCCAGTGAGGTCTAGATTTAGCTCGGCCCGAAAGCTGCTTGACATCCGACGTGGCTGGTGATTGAAGGATTCGGGAAGGAATGTCATCCATCAGCCTGGGTCAGTTCGCATGGCAAGCGAGCGTCGCATGCACATGGTATCTTGGGCCTCTGCACGCAGTAAAGAAGGCGGCGGTCCCAAGACATGAGCTAAAATATTTCTAAGCCTGCATGGGCTGACTATGAGCCTCCGTTGGGGAAATTCTCGTCGTCCGATGGCCACCGGCATGCTGGTGGGGTACAGCCGCACAATTCCAACGGCGGAGTGCGTGACGCAGCAGCATGCACGAGTCGCGCTCACTCTTACAGTCTGGACGCAGGTGAGCTTAATTCTAAGAAAGCCTCATCTTGTTTCTGGGCTCTGTTTTAGGCTTCTGAGAGATTGAGTAGTTCAAGAGAAACAAACTTTCTCAAGTGTGATCTAATTTTCTTGGAATATTGTGTTTGCAGTCCTTAATGTCCAAGTGCCCGAAGCCTCCAACTGCCTGGGGCTTCCACGCTATCCGGATGCTGGAAAGGTGGATGCCTCAAATTGTAAGCCGGACCCCGATTACCAGCCGCCAACAAGCGCCACGTTACTTCTCAAAACCGCCAGCCGCCCGATGCCGTCTAGTCCGTTGTCCGGAGAAAGCATCGAAGGGGGAGAGAGAGGTTGAGTCGCGGCAGCGGCTGAACGACCCGTGCACAATTGCACTAATTGGGGTCACGAGCAGCATAGATGTTGTGCACAGCTCTTTTATAAGCATGCCTTTCTAGAATAGTCCGAATAATTTGGTGGCCACCACGGATGGCACTGATTGAGTGCGTTTGAGGTTGTTTGCCTAGACAGCTTACATGAACATCCGACTACCGGAGTTGTCTGAGCGGACAGCACTGGCAACTTAAGTACAATTCCAGGGCACAGGGCCTAGAACCGGACGGGAGCCAAAGTGATTTGACCAGTGTCTGATCAGTGTCATGCTGGGTAGGGCGGTTGATCCGGCCTTGCGGGAGGTGGGAGATCATCAGAGCCATGCTCTTCGACACTGAGCACGACACCTGCCAGGGCTGGAGGGGCAGAAAGTGGTTGGGGGCTGCAGACGCCTTGGCCGCAGGGCCCTTTTTCGACAGAGAGACATGGAAGCCTGCTAAGAAGAAAAGGCAACACTTGGTGGGTGGTGGGCTCGTTAGACTTGCATGCGGCCTAGCGCCGAGAAGGAAAGCCAATGTCCTTTTCTTTTCCAGCCGTCACTCACAGACTCAGACTTCTCAGCCTGACTCGGAGGAAAGGATTGGCGCGTTCCTGTTTCATTGCCCAAGGTCGGGCGCTATGTCTGCGGGAAAAAGAAACGGCTCCGCTAGCGCGCGCCGTGGCGGCCTCACCACGCGCCGTTGCTCATTTGCCGTGCAGCACAATTTATGGCGTTCAGATCTTATGTTCGTCCGAGCATTGCGGCTAGGGTTCGTGGGAAACAGAAGCAACCTTGGAAGAAAATAGCACAAGCCGCCTGGCGTCGTTTGAGATGTGCTAGTCCTTATCGCAGCTTGTCCGGCACACGTGTGGTTGTACAGGAAGAAACTGCCAGCTAGGATGATCCGGGGTAAAGTTGCTCAGGGGCGGGGTCCAGATGCAAGAGTCAAAGCGATCGACACCTTCAAATCAAAGATGCCACGAGAGAAACTGGACATATAAGAGATGGACTTCGACTGCCGATCTCAAGATTTTAATCAGCACTCATCCAGCATTCAGCAGCAGCCTCATCTTCCAGCTCTTCACTTTCTTTCAACTACATTCACTACAACAGTCTCTCACTGACACCTTTTGAGTCTATTCTCTAATACCATAATCACCATGAAGTTCTCCGCCCCCATTGCCCTCTTCGCTGCCGGTGTCCTCGCCGCGCCTAGCGCTTCCGAGCTTTGCACCCGCGAGCTCAGCACCGTCAACACCATCATGACGACTGTTCTCAACGGCATCCAGAACCTCGACACCACTTGCCTGTCTTACACCGGCGGCCCGGGCCCGGAGCTCACCAACGCCTCGACCTACATGCTCGAGATCATCCGCACCGCCACCAACAACGCTGCTGCTATGCTCCCCTTGACCATGGAGGAGGCTCAGGCTTTCCAGCCTCTCTCTGACCAGCTCAACGCCGCTGGTGACAAGCTCCTCACCGACATCTCCAGCAAGGTCACCCTCTTCTCTGCTGCCTGCATTTGCGACACAACCCTCAACTGGGTTGCCCAGATTGGTAAGTTCCCACACTTCAGCTTACAGAAACCTCAACCGACTAACACTATGAACAGCCGGAAACGTCAACACTCTCATGACCACCATCTCCACCAAGTTCCCCGCCGGCGGCAAGGGTGGTGACGAGATTGCCCACTTTACCCAGGTCTTCTCCGACATGCAAAGCCAGCTCTCTGAGTGCTCCGGCAAGCCCTGCGCCGGAGCCGGCGGCAACGACAAGAGCGTCCCTGCTACCACCCGCCCCGTCGCCGGCGCCCCCGCTCCTACCGGTGTCACTCCCGGCGCCGCCGTCCCCGCCCCCGGCCACAGCAACAACAGCACCAAGGGAGCCTCTCCCACCGCCAAGGGCACCAACGGAGATGCTTCCGCCACCACCAAGGCCACCAAGGAGGCTTCTCCTACTGCCAAGGGCGTCGTCACCGCCGGAGCTGCTGCCACCTTCTCCGGTGCCGGCCTGGCCGTCGCTATCGCTGCCCTCCTCATCTAAATCCTCTGCTACGAACCCCCTGGCGGTAATTGCTGGTGGCTCAGCTGGATTGAACCCAACAGCGCACAATTTGCGAATCTGGGACGGACATTTGCACATAACGAAAATGTACAAAAAACCTTTTTTGGGTAGGAGAGGTTGCGGGTACACGGGCATTGCACCTCGAATGAAGTCACGAACATAGTTTCTTTTTTACACTAATTACATGCGGAAGTTGGGTTTATGCAAATGATGTGTAGTCGCCAATACATGTAGATAGCTGGACAAATGGAACAGTTAAATTAAAAAAGAACACTCTCACAGTTTCTCATATGTGACTTGCAGCAAATGATTCAGACGATCCAATTTCAATTGATGGGACGGCTCGTTGGTCTAGCCTTGCCCTAAGCCCCTTGCTGATCTCCGCGTTGTTAGCGGGTTTCGAGCTGACTGCTTGTACGACCATTCCCATATGGGAAAAGCAACGATGATAAGGCCATGGAAAAGGAGAATCAGTACATAATCGAAATTTCCAAGCAAGAAACGCCTTAGATTGAGAAATCATTGGA